ATGGGCACTAGCAGCCCAGCGTAGCTCCGCCCTCAGGCAACGAATCGGTAGCTTGTGCGATGGCATCACTACTAAATACAAACTAATACACGGCTCAAACACAAATCAAATTAACAAATAACAAATACAAGTACGATCAAATCAAGTTAAATACGAATTACAACAATACAATTATTATTTATTAAATTAAATACAAATTACACTACAATTAAAGGTACACACTACAGTCAACCGGCAAAATGCCTCGCTCAAACAGCCGACCCCTCGACAATTAATCTGCTATAATTATACGCCCACGATAATTATCCGATTACGTGATAACCTTATCTACCTAGTCAAAATACCTGACGCGTACCTACCCGCTAAGAAAACAAAAAATATTTATATGTAATTTTTATTACGTACTATTTTTATTTATATTACGGCCGGGGGATTGGAGAACCAATCAACCACGCCCTGCTACCAAGAATGTACACGCACCTAGTTGCCCAGACTAAGGTCGAACATACAGGGGCCCATACAGCTGTTAAATTCGACGGACAACTAAGTGTGGGGCTCAAATGCCTATGGATATTTAACATATATGGACTAGGTACTTAATGCGACTTACCTGATGCTGAGGCGAAGACTGTCCCAAGGCTCGGTCAGGCCGTAGGTGTGTAGTGCATGTAAGTGGTGTTTGTGAGTGTGCAAAAATGTGGGGCCTGACTCAACCCCTTTATTAGGCAGCAACTCTGACTCCGACACCGCCGCAAGGTGTGGTATTCTCCAGCGGCGGCACCAATGGACAATTTCTTTCTTCAATTTACTATGTCAGTCTATAAACTTTATTTTACATTTACTAACTTCAAAACGCAACTAAATCCCGTTAATTATAATCAAAACGTAACACACGGCACGAATAACGAACGGGCGGAACAAAGATCACTTCCGTTTCGGAAGTCATTCAATCAATGGGCGACAGTAGGAGTCCATAAGAGCAGGCATAGGTTATATGATCTTTACCATGAAAGGTCATATAATCATAGCGTCGAATTTAGGGAATATGTAAAAAAATATTCAAAAATATTTAAAAGAGTGTGCTCCATAGCCAAGTCTTTGCATTTGAGCAACAAAATTAAGACGGCTTCCAATAAAATTAAAATGACATGGAGTATAATTAATAGCGAAACTGGTAAGATCAACTCTCGCAATTCAAATTACCAGTTAAGTGTTTATAACAAATTAACTGTATCAGATCAGGACGTAGCAATGGTTTTGAGAAATATTTTACTGATATTCCGATCTTGACCACTAAGTCACTGAATTCTTCTCCGGCCATCGCCGAATCATTACTTAAATAAAATGTAAATGTGTGTACAAAGAATTTTACATTTCATAAAGAGTCATCAAAAGATATTGTAAAATATTTTAAAACTATTGATGTTAAGAAAACTGCGGATCTGTGGGGAATTTCCGTTAAAGTTATTGCGTCTATAATAGATACAATCGCGCCTCATTTAGCTATTATTTTTAATACTAGTATCGAATCTGGTGTGTTTCCTGATTTAATGAAGCATAGTAAAGTAATACCTTTATTTAAATCTGGTAGTACATTAGACCCCGCCAATTTTAGACCTATTTCTGTACTACCAACACTTAGTAAGATTTTTGAAAAATTGTTCTTGATCAAATGTTAAATTTTTTTAATATAAATAATTTACTTCATAAAAATCAATTTGGTTTCACAAGGGGTCGCTCGACAACTGATGCCAGTGTTGAGCTGATTAAATATATATTTAATGCATGGGAGAATTCACAGGATGCTTTGGGTATATTTTTTGATCTATCCAAGGCCTTCGATTGTGTTCACCATGAAACATTAATCAGGAAACTTCAACACTACGGTGTAAGAATATGCTCTTAAATTAATTATTTCATATTTAAGTAAGAGAACGCAAAAAGTTGTCAATAACAATATGAGCTCTTCCGGATCGATGGTACAAATGGGCGTGCCTCAAGGCTCAATTCTCGGCCCCTTTCTGTTTCTTGTATACATTAATGACTTACCTTACATAGTAGGGGATAACCATGATATAGTATTATTTGCAGATGACACTTCTTTAATTTTCAAATTAAGTCGACAATTACTAAAATATGACGAAGTAAATAATGCTATATCTAAATTAGTAAATTGGTTCGATGTTAATAATTTGCATTTAAATGGCACTAAAACGAAATGTATGAAATTCCTGACTCCAAATGTCAAACAATTAAATACTAATGTAATTTTAAATGGGGAGAAACTGAGTCTTGTAGATACCACAATTTTTCTTGGAATCCCACTAGACGCGAAGCTTCAATGGAGCCCCCATATATCAAAACTAGCAAGCAGACTTAGTTCTGCAGCATATGCTGTAAAAAAGATTAGAAGTCTAACCAGTGTTGAAACAGCTAGACTACTTTACTTTAGCTATTTCCATAGCATAATGTCGTATGGTATTTTGCTATGGGGACACGCAGCTGACACTGAAATTATATTTGTTTTACAGAAGAGGGCCATAAGAGCAATTTATGATTTAAAGCCTAAAGAGTCGCTGCGACATGCGTTCAAATAATAAAATCCAGCTGCAAGTGCAACGTCCGTTTTGTAGGTACAACTACTTTCTGCTAGCAAACATGTTTAATTTTCTGGTATTTGGCTCCATGTGTGGACGGTGTATTGTTTATTTGCCCGTACGTCAATTTTTTTGCCAAATGCGCCATGCAATCACAAATAACAAATAGCCATGTGCAGTGCCACCATAAGAAGTAACTCAAACTGACTCCCTGGTATATAATGTATTATCTATGTTACTAAGTACAGTACTGACAATAGGAGGCCCAGAAGGGCTTGAACCCAGAGCCGTTAAACCTGTTTATTAAAAAAACTGACAGTAAGAATGGACAAGGGAAAAAATATATCGATATATATTGAATCGGTATTTTTAAAAAGTGTCGATATATATCACGTGATAAATATCGATATATCGTCATCATTTGCATGATGTACAGATAAGGTCCAAATTTGTTGTTAAAAGTTTTGTCATTAATACATTTTAAAGTATATCGAAATTGATATGAATTCGATACTCTAAAACTAATTCGAGCAATGTATTGATAACATAATATACAATATTTTATTATAAACAATATTAAAAACTAAACGCATGGCACAAATATGTAGTCATCTCTCTCATCTCTCATCTTTCATATTTGCGCCCCCACATTGCGGTACCCCTAAGATGAGAGGCCGCCAGAGTGTCTACGCAAGTAGCATCCCACATTGAGGCTTTACCTCTCTCCCAAGGGACCAATGTCATACCGTCGGATCTCTTGCCATCGTCTCTTAATATTCCACATGGCTCTAAAATTGAGGGAACATTTATAAAGACAAGAGCCCTTCGGGTGACATCGTTCAAAGAACTTTTCTTACATGAAAGTCCGTGGAGCCCAAACTTGTCGACGCTGCTTCCACGGGGGCACTGATGGGGTTGACAAATCACCGCTTCTAGTCAGATTCCTACGGCGATGCGCAAGCTTTCCCCATCAAGTAATGTGCTGAGGTTACTGGATGGTAAAGCGACTAGATTCCTTACCACCAGACCAGTGACTAGATTCCTTAGTCAAAACCGCTAGGAGACGTGCCTTATCTTGGTCACTATAGAAATTATGAAACAAATCTTTCTGCACACTCTGTACCAACGGAATATCCCACTGATTTTGTTTTGTTAACTTCCAGTGGAACATTTTCACCGGGACAGAGCGCTCGCCATGTTTGCACCGCCTCCGTAACAAAGCACAGGCCTATTTTATTATTTAAAATTATGTTACATAAGTCACTGACACTATGCACGGAAGCAAGGAAAGCAGGCAACGCAACGCTAGAAAGATTTCTCACACCAATACCACCAAATTTTATGTATGTGTATATGTATTTTATGTACGTGGATGTAAGTATATATGTAAGAGCAATGTGGGGAATAAATTTATATAATTTATCAATGTGTTTTAAATACTGATGAAATTTGGTTTTTAAAACAGATTTAATACAATCGAAAAACAACGGAGTACCTAGCAGGTATAGTGATTCTGTACTGACAGTTTTTATTTCTGGAGAAATATGATTGAAATTTTGAATTAAATTGTCTCTATGAGAAGTAGATAAATTATTGGAAAATATATTTCACACTTATTGCTATTTGGTTTAAGACCAATATTTTTAAAATTTCGAAATATATGAGTAAAATCACTGAGGATGTCATCGGCCAACTTCCAAAAAGGAGATGGTACTCAATTCGACTGTATGTTTTTTTTTATGTGTGTTACCTCATAACTTTGTACTGGGTGAACCAATTTCGATGATTCTTTTTTTATATGAAAGCTGATACTTCTTGTGTAGTCCCATATGAATTTGATCAAGGTCAGACCAATAGTTTTTGAGTTATTCTTAATAACTTATATTGAAGTCGGCTGTACAAATTTTTTTATTTTAAATTATCGGCTCTACCTCCCAGTGTACCGTCGTTCAGGTACCAGACATTCAGCTTGGATTTCAAATTTCTAATAATGGGTTGAATTCCCAAACTGAAAAATGCTGGACCTAGTGGGTCACCCTCCTGAACGCCGACAGCAGAACCGATAACATGGCTTTCATAAAACAAGTTAGTATTTTGACTGTAACATTACCAAACGTAATGATAAATTTCGGGGGTATTGTTAGCCACTTCTTTCAGCAAGGTTACCCTATCGAATAGAGTTAAAAGCATTCCTAAGTTCAACCTTTTTAATAAAAATATGGATATATATCGTAGATATTTTAAATCGCGAAATATTGATATATCGATATTTATATATAACGATATTTTTTGCCCAAGCCTAACTGACAATCAAAATCAAATCAAATCAAGAAAAGCGATCAGATTGGGTTAGATAGTTAATAATTAAATTTTTTAACTCTACGGAAGGCAGTCAAAGGGAAAATGTTCCCGTCTACGCGTATTAAGAGTTGCCTTCCAGTCATGAATCCAATGTTTAAACGACTACGACCGCACAGGCCGTTCAGACAAACTCCGTTCCACAACCAAAGCCAAACAAAGGTTTCGAGTACACAACTACAGAAGTCTAAATGGATGAATTTACGAGCTATAATTACTCGTTGGGTGCCTTTAGGCAGTGTTATCTACGTTGGATGGTGTTACATACGAGCTAGTATTAATTATGAAGTTTCTAAAGTCGAAATTAAATTTTACGAAATGTTTCCATTCCGTGTCACCAGCCGCCTCTGGGGAAGATTGGCGGCGTGTGAACTTCCAACGTCGATCAGGAACTTTGTTTATGGGACGTATGTGAAGATGTTTAATGTTAATTTGAACGATGCGGCAGTGACGGATTTAACGTATTATAAAAGTTTATCGGAATTTTTCACACGCGCATTACGTGAAGGCGCTAGGTTTATTTCACCATCGATTTGTGTGTCTCCGTGCGACGGTGTCGTCCTAAATTGCGGGCCGGCGGACACTGATAAAATCGAGCAAGTAAAAGGTGTGACATACAGCTTGGAAGAATTCTTAGGTGAAAACAAATGGTCGAAGTCTACCGATACCAACTATTACAACTCCTTATTAACGGATAAAAAGAACATATTACATCAATGCATAATTTACCTAGCGCCAGGAGATTACCACAGATTTCACTCTCCATGTGATTGGACTTCAAAATTTCGAAGACACTTTTCCGGCAAACTCCTGTCCGTAAACCCATGGATGGCGCGGCTCATACCAGGGCTGTTCACTATGAACGAAAGAGCTGTGTATGTTGGTGAGTGGAAATATGGATTTTTTAGTTTGACCGCTGTTGGTGCAACCAATGTGGGATCTATAGAAATCTATCACGACCCCCAGTTACGAACAAACACTAAAGGTAAACGTAACAGAGTTGATGAACTCGTTACCGAGGTTTCTTATAAGAAAGGTGAACTATTTGGTCAATTTAACATGGGTAGTACAATAATCCTTCTATTTGAGGCACCAAAAGACTTTAAATTTGAGTTCAAATCTGGTGATAGAGTTCAGGTTGGTCAAGCTTTAACAACTGTAGCTGTACATCAAGCTAGATGACCTCGTTTTAGTGATCTCATGCACATAGTGCAGTTTGGGCTAGTTTTCTACATGATCTCCCTGTTACTGTAAGTATCAGAGGAAGCAACATTCTTCTAGATTTAGCCTGTTAGAACAGAGTAGGTATATTACTTTGACTTTGTGTAATGTGTGTTTATGAATATAATTTATAACATTAATTTGTTATTATCTGACAAAAAGCTAAATATTTCCCCCAGCCTTCAATTCTATTATCATCCTTTCTAGTTATGTCTCAAAGATATATATACTATTATTCATTTTCTAAATATCTTTTCATTTTACCATGTTTTTATTAAATCACTTTCTTGTTTGTTTGTCATTCTGGATTGAATCTTGCAATTGAAATTTTGAGCACTTCTCAATTAGCTAGAGACTTGAAATTTTGAACATAGCTTAGAATTGGATGACAAAGTGGGAATATAAAAAAAAATATGGTGTTTTACGTTTTTAGTACAAAATTTTTAAAAATTCACTTGTTTTATCCACAAGTCAATATTATGTCATATTAGTATAATAATTGTTTAGATTATATAACTGTTATATATAAATAATTTTAAATAAAAAATATATTTAAACGGATATTAAGTATTCATTAATAAAAAAAAATCTTAAAATCTGTATTAGCATTCAGTATACAAAATATTATTAAATATAATTTATTTTCTTTTATTACATTCTTTAGTTTTGTTTGTATAAACTTAATAGACATTTTGTATATTTTTCATTGTTAATTCTTAATATTAAAGTAGATTTATTTTAACAATTTAAAGCATATGGAAATATAGAAATTAAAACTTTTTTTATTCATAAAAGATTATAAGTAATACTTTCACTCTTAAGTTTAATTTAGCACTGGTTCGGAAAATACCTCTGTCTTGCGATGAACCAGCAAGAAACCCAGTGGTACTTTGATGACTTAGGTTTTTTATTAATATAAACAGTAAATATTTTGCTTAACCCTCTTAGAAAAGAGTGGAGGAGGCACTGTTGCATACAGGCTAAAACTTTACTTTGCTGGTAATCAATTACAAATGATTATTCTATTAACTGTGTCCTTTGTGCAAACAACTCTAAAGAAGTAACTAGGGTTCACATTAAATTCAAGAACTAATAATTATTATAACACATTTTACGATTCTTTAACTGTGCAAAACCAATGTTACAAATTATTTTTTGTTTTATCCTCAATATATTGTTCCATTTTGTACAATTTTATGTTATTGTTACCGATGTGGTGAGTTGATTTTTTTACTCAAGTTGCAACTCGAGTTGATTCAGTTCCAGGTGCATGGCTGAGCCCAAGTGTGGTATCTTTAAGAGTTGAATGACGCGTGCAAGTAAAGCAACGCATATACTATTGCTATTCCAGTGAACTCAAATCTCTAAATTTTAAGTTTTCTTGCACAATGTATATTGGTTTTGCAATAAATGACTAATCAAGTTGAGTCAGATGTACAGCACGGGTCTCAACTCGTGGCCCACATGTACGCTGTAGTCATGGGATGCGATGTAAAATAAGTGCGTAGTCCGTGGACAGAGTTGATTTCAGTTGTCAAAAACTGAACTCGATTTAACTTGTTTACACTTTGATTCAAGTCAAAAAGCTCAACTTGAACATCACTAGTTATAAACTTCTTAACAATTCATAGAAACATGAAAAATGTTACATGTGACACATAAACGGTGTTATAAATTTAGAAATCAAAAAAAATTAATTGTATTATATGACAATTACATTATGTAGCAAAGTTCAATTTTGTCTATAATATTTCCTACCAGGGTATACCACCGCCTAAGCTAATAAGAAAGCATTGTGAATGTGATAATATTTATAAGTCCTAGTAGAAACTATATTAAATTTGAGACATTCTAGGGAATATTGAGAAGTGCTTGTACAAGAAATTGTCTGAAGCACCATGGTTTTTCTTATGGTTAAGCTTTGGCTGGGGGAGGGTTTATAGACGATATTGCTATTATCTTTTCTCGATAGTTTAGTGTTTTACATCTAAATCAGCAACCAGTGATATTTAAATATATATATATGTATATGTGTGTTTGTGTGTCTATGTGGTACGTTTTCCACATGTGTATTATCTAACGTACATTATAAAAGACCTTATAATTATATATATTAAGTGTTATAATCATATAATATGTTCGGTATGAATGTTGTTAATTCTTACACCACTTATATGTGTTTTATGTACGCAAGGAGCTCAATACTATATTGGTATGTAAATTGATTATATGCTCTCAATAATCCTCTGTCATATATTGATAATATTTTTATTTCTAAATCACTTTTAATGTGATTAAACCAATTTGGCATATAGCTCTATTTAGTTTAGGCCAGGGGTTGGCAAACTTTTTCATTTCGTGGTGCACCTGTATGCGAACTTACAGGTTTAGTATATTGTCTCAGCGCCCCAGTCAGTCAAATTAATGTACAATGATAGTAGGTAGATGGGCACAAAAATTAAAGCATTAACAATATGGAGCTGAGTTTTTAAGTTTGTAATGACACACCATGGCAGCTTAGACAATGTGACGTGTGAGCTTGGTGATCTCCACACATCTTTTCAAAGCATAGGATAAGGCTTGACACCGCTACTCTCATTTCTTGCTCCACATTGATCTTTGAGCAATATTGCTCTTTATTACAGCTACAGCTGAAAATCTAGTTTATTTTGTACCTGTAAATACATAAGTTTAGTTTCGGTGGGAAAAGGTAAACAGAAAAGTCTCACGGCGCACACTTTGGGAACCCCTAATTTAGGGTCTTTAAATACCATAATAGTTTGTACAAGAATGTAATTTTACACTCTCCCGCCTGGAACGTTTTATATACTTATGTTAGAAATATTTCTGTAAGGCTGTATCTAACTGCCATACACACCCAGATATAAAATTGTTAATTTGCAGAGAGCAAATAAAATAGTTGTCCTAGGAATTTATTCTTCTATACCTTATTTATAGTTGCCAGCGTCTAACTAGGCAAGATTTGTTATATGCGCAGAAGTCGTTTTTTAGATCTCTTTGGTTATCAAGCGGGCGCGGGAACGAAGTAGCATCGTTCCGAGCGCCCGATTGGTTGGCCAGTCGACTTCAGAGCGCGCGATTGGTTGGCCAGTCGAATTCCGAGCGCGCCATTTGTACGTCCCGTTGTACATGCGCAAACTTTCCCTCACTACGCCAAAACCTTGCTAAGTTAGTTGCCGTATACTATATAAGGAGGGTTTTTGTAAAAACTGTGGTTCTCAAACATTTTTGATTTAAAAAAGCTTCGTTTTCTTTTACGAGCAATTTTACAGTGAACTAAAGGCATATTTATGAAATTTTTAAAGTTATTTTCATCTAAGTAATCTTAAGTTGCTGAATGAATAATTTGTAATATAAACTGTTGTTAGATGCACCTCGTATCGTCGGTCGAATGACGAAGGGGCGTAAGTAATTTTAGTCAATTTTACAGTAGAGCGATTTTCAATAAAGTCCACCGTGATGCACCGTCGTAACTTTATATGTAAAACTACTACGCAGTTTACAGGACTGTCGTTAGGATTGATAACTAATCCTCTTTTGATATTAAATTAGTTTATTAGTTTACTTTAGTTACTTGTAGATATATTTCCTTTTTTTTGAAAAAAAATTCACTTACGCCCTTTTGTCATGTGCAAATATTTCAAAATAACATTTACGTCCGGCTATCTTAACTATAAAAGAAATAAAAGACTATAAATTAAAACACTATTAAATAAAGAAAGACTGTAATATTAAGTAATGGAACAATATCTTATTGATGTGGTAGGTTTTCATAATAAGTTTGATATTCCCGGCATCTTATCAAAGGGGTCTCTCCCCTGCACATAGAAATTAAATCGTTATATTTTTCTTTAGATATCTCATAATGAGATTTATTTAAATGTCCCACCTCTTCCTTCAGCCATTTAACATCTTGTCTTTTTATTGATATCGATCTGTATTCTTTATCCTTGTGACTCGTTTTAAAAAATAGACTACTTTGAGACTTTCGTGAGACTTTTAACTCCATAACATCTGTCCATTTAAAGAGGGCGGCTGTCTGGTTATCGTTTTTTAATTTAAGTAACCTTAACTTTAAGGCAAGATTTTTAAAATCCTTAAAATCATTGTAATTGAGTACCTTGACTTCGTATGGATTTTTGCGTGCCAATCGTATGATCGGCTCCAATTGGCATGGAACAAAGACGTTCCCAGCCTTTGCCATTGCAAATGCTATCGCGCTATGGACAGAATCGCCCTCGCTTTGCCCATGGAACGAACAGAAGTATCGTAAACTAATTTCTTCAATAGATTCACAATTATTTATTAAGTATAAGAGCATAGCCGCCATCACGGAATTTTTATTCTGGCCTGAGCAGCCATCGCAAAATAAGAATACTTCTTTCACACTCTTTCTATCACAATTTGTTAAGAAATAATAAACACAAGTAGAAATTTCAGAGGCACCTCTTCTACTGATTGTCTCATTCCATAAGTTGCATATACAGTCTTTGGAGGCTAAATCATAAATTGTGAAATTATAATTAGCCAAACGTCTTTTATAAAAAAGAGCACTTTCATTGGATTGTGGCAAATAGATGACTTGCTGTAAATCGAACGAAGCACAACAAGTGGTTATATTTTGTATTGCTCGATTCTTGCATTCGTTTTTAATTCGTCGTACTTCTTCTTTTTCTATAATATGTGCATCATATTTATTCTGCAGCTTCTCTTTCACCTCGCTTGTACCTTCTCTGTATGTCATGCATAAACTGCATTGGTCTTTTTTTGGTTTATGGAACGATAAATTCATGCCTTTGAATACATTTCTATAAAGTGTCATACTTCTTACGGGTTGGTTATACTCCTTTAAAAACATACCATATATTTTTTTCAAAGATAAATCATGGTGGAGATATTCTTTTGTACTACTTTTTCTACAATAATGAGACTCAACACGC